AAATCTCCTCTATTGTAGCTTGGGTCGCCCATGCTGCTGTGGTGGCTGCACTCCTGGTGGAGTGAGCAGTAATGCCTTGGGGCACTGGAATCAAGTGAGAGCCATACAAATTAGCGATGGTGGCTCTTAGCCATCTACCTATGGTAGAGGGTGAAACCTTGCGCCCCAGGGTGTTAGGCTGAAAGGACACGAAGAGGGCTTCTGTCTTTCTGGAGGGCGCTGTGCGCTCTATGTAGATGCGTAAGGCTCTCCTTATGTCTAAGCAGTGCCATTGGTGTTCGAGCCTGTGTGATGGACGTGAGCAAAAATTTGGGAGCACCAGCTCTTGAGCTCTATGGAATGCTGAATTAACTTTTGGAATAAAGGAGGGATCTGGTCTGAGAACTACTCTATCCAAATGTTGGCAGGGATTTCCTCTGGAAGTTCCTCCTCTTGTCTGAGGCCAGCTGCAGTTGGCATGAATGTTGCCTCTGGGGCCCTCCTTGGGGAGAAAATGTTAGAAAGAGCCTCCTGGGGAGGTTGCATTGATATGCTGCTCCTTCTGGATAAATCCAGAAGGGCGGTTGGAGGATTCTGGGCCTGTGAGGTAGAGGGTATGATGAGTGGTGAAGAGGTGGGCTGTGCAGCTGCTCGTGTACGTTTTTCCATGATGGCGTCTGCGTGCATCCTTCTCTGCTGCCTTAGAGGTCTTTTTGGGCTCCGTGGACTTATCTCTATTTTTAGCAGTTAGTCTAGATCTGGAGTTACAGCTGCTGGCCATGGTAATGCCTTTGATAGCAATGGAAAGAAGCTATGAAATTAGGTGGCTGGAACACCTAGGGGTCTGCTCCCTTAAGGAGCAGGGGATCCTGGAATAAATAGTTCCCCAATGCCTTTAGCAAATGTTGTCTCCTTGTTCTGTTTTGCTTTGTTATCTATTTATCTAATAACTTAAAGATTCATAGAATTTAAGTCAATCAAGTCAATTTTTGAATAAAGTACTTGTAATATTAAATGTGGAGACCAGAACACCCCACTCCAGACCTGGCACCTATATGAGGGCACAGAGGTCTGTAACTGATAATTAGATCAGTTTAGCTGCACTCACTGCCTGTGGAATCCAGCAGTTCAAGTTCTCTATCACCCAGTGGACTGGAGGCAGGGACTCCCCCTTCCCAGGTCCTCAAGAAAAGAAACCTTGTTGGGAAACTTTCCTCACAGACAGTAACAAATACTCAGCAAATTTAACCACACAGCCTTTAAAATGCTGGCTGCCTCGTGGCAGAATGAAAACGAAAGCAGCTATCACCGCCCGGCCTGCTGAAAGCAAAACTGCTCAGCGGGAAGGCGCAGGGGCTAATTCCCCACCCTGAGGTGTTCTGCGGGGAAAGCCTCATAATAAAAAGGGGGAAAGGCTGCACTTTTAAATGGAAGCTTCAAACCTCGAAGGGACAGAGCGTTTACTCAGCTGGCTGGGAGATTGGAGAGATAAGCCTCCTTGTTTAGAAGTTTAAGGCAGCATGTCTCTGAAAGGAGAGGCTTTTAGCCTCAGGGCAGATTGGAAAGATAAGCCTCCCTGTTTATGAGGCTTTAGCCTCGGGAGGCTGGAACGTAAAAACAAAACAAAACAAAAAACTGAGCGAAATGACTTTTGGAGGTTCCCAGGGGCGTGGTTGGTGACAGAAACTATTACCTGACCTGAGAAATAAATCAGCTAAATTGCCAGTGTTCTGTTCCGACCAGGAAAACAATAACAGAACCTGTCTGAAGAAAGGCTGAGCTAAAACTGGGGATGCTAAGGAGAAGTCTCGTGGAGGACGAGGAGTGTCCTCAAGTTTAAGCCCAGCCTTCCTAGAAGGGACTGAAGCACCTCCCATCACTGGATGCTCTGAACAGGTCATGGGAGAATTCCCAATCAATACACGAAATAAGGTTAGTATGCAAGTCTGGTTCTTGACAAATCCATGATGACTTCTGTTAATAATTATTAGGTCTGTGCACAGCAATGTAACTTCACTGTGATAAAATGACCCCCACATCATGAAGCTAATGTGAATTCACTTCATTAAAATAAAAAGGTACCCGATTTACCTAAACAAAGTAAATCATAAACCTTTGGACTATCACCTCAGGATAAGACTTGTCTCAGCCTTTTCAACCTGTATTCATGAAGTGCTTCCAGATTTGACAGCAATTTTGGCAAAAAACCTGGAGGAACCTCCAAGCTAGTTGCCTTTGAAATAAGTAATCCTGCAGCTTTCACTGAAACTATTCTGGAAATGTTTCAACCAATACTCTGGCAGAAGGCTTCTGAAGAAGTCACTTAATAGTCTTCTCCCATGGCTCAAACTCTGAGAGAGAAGGCTAAGAAAATCCTTGAACTACAGTAGGAAGATGAAGCCTCACAAGCCTCATAAACTTTTAACATTAGTATGTGATTTTTAGTTATATTTATAAGAGTGAAGAGGAATTGTCTTGGGCCACATACAATATATACTATATACTTACATTTATTCTTTACACACAAAATGCCTTTATTGCTAGAGCTTGTTGAACAAATATACTAATGAACATGTAATTGGAAATTTTTTACATTTATGATCTATCCAATTATGTGTAGAAGAAGCTAAGCTAGAAGGCAGGGTTAAATATGTCATCAGTTTGGAGTAATTGTATTGTCATAAAATGCCTAAGTCTAGCCCCTCCCCCCCAATGAATTCTGTTTGCCCTTATTTATCATTAATTTATCTATGACCTTTAGTTGACTAGATTCTTGCCTTACAGGTAGCAATAATAAACTTTTCTGTGCTTTGAACTCAGTGAATGTTCCTGGTTAGTCATGCCTGACATTGTGTGAAATCAAGTGATTGGAAAAAAATTCAAAAATAATAAAGTTGATGACATTATTGTAAACTTAAGGAATTTTGGTGAACTATTTTTTTAGATTCTAAAACTGGTATATGCTATTCTTTAGAAATATAAAGGTCCATAGCCAACTGTTCTTTCAAAGCTCATGTGCCACAATAAAATGACCAAGATGCCTTACTTAAAGAAATTATTGTATTCATATTAAAGCAGTACTGAGCTTGCATTTCATCTTTTGCATTCAAACATACAGGTCTCCTGTTCAAAATTATTTCATTTTAAATGCTAATAACTAAAAAACTGCTGTTTCTATTACACAAGGATATTATTCAGAAATGACCAAAATGGAAACTGACTTTTTAATTTAACTAGATTTTGCATAATGTGTTGTGACTTTCTCTCCATTTTCATAGGTTCATTTTTACTGTCCTGAACCCTGTTGCTGCATTAATGTATGTTCAATCCCCACCATTTCCAAAAAACAAAAATGAGATTTTGTAAAACTGCTGCTATAAGGTGATTTCCTGCAAATTCTGTTTATTTCCTTAATATTAAGTTGGTGGTAAGAGGCACATCTCTCAAAGGCCTAAAATTACTTGGTTATTTTGGATAACAGAGATAGCTGACCGAAAAGAATATAGTAGGTTAAGGTTGAACTGTGTAGTCCTTGGTGTTGTATGAACTTGTTTGTTTAGACATTTAATTGCAAAACTAGGTAACACACTAGCAAGCACTGATGATGTTATCTGCTGGTAATGTGTTATCTAGTCAGGTAATGAAATATGTGCAATCAAACAACCAAGTCAGAGAGCATCAGGAATTTCAGAGATATCGAATTCAGTGTTGTTCAATGTGGTTTAAACATTAGTTTTTCTCCAAGCATTTTTCCAAAGTAATAATATGCATCCACTAACTGCAAAACACAAGTATAAAATGTCTGTGGGACTTAATACTTCTCCCTTAAATAAAGACAGACCGAAACTAACAAAACTGTGAATTCTGAAATAATCTTTCCCAATCTTATAATAGACCTTTGTATCGTGAAATGATTTGGAACAGATTAAGGACAAGTTAAAAAGTATTTGTTCACATTAAATATATCATCAGTTTATGGGCTTTACTTTTCTGAAGTATGTACTGACTTTAAGTTTTCTTTAAAAATAATTTAAAAGCACTACGGTGGACAGGTTTAGTAGTAGGCTATTAGCATGATAAATGAGACTTGTATGTCCAGAAGCAATTTGAACTCTACACATCATTCTTCTAATGATCCTTCTGATTTTCACATCATCTTAAACTACTCCATCAGGCCATTGTATATTCCATTTCATTCGCGTTCTATAGTATTCACAAACATGCTTTGAAATGTAAAATGGAGGCAGGATAATGGCACACAGTTTTCCTAATAAAATATCCAAAATACAGGGTAATGCACTACAAAGTTACTTCCATTTGATGCAAAGACAAGATATTTCTCAGAAGTTGCCAGAGACCAGATGTTTTGTACATTACAATATGCCACCACTTCTTTGCAGTCTATGTCTTCCAGTGACCGGGGTATATTTTGCAGTAATGTAGGGTAAATTGCTGTGTGGTAAGATTTAATATCTTAGTTTCAAATGATGAGAATAGGAGGAATATTTCTCCTTTACAATGTCCTGTTTATAAAACTTTCCTGAAAGGTATTAGCCCATTCTATGTAGGAAATAGAATGTTAGACTAGATCATTTTGTGTCAGTTTGATGGTTTTAGATTGGAACTTATAGATCAACATAACTGGAAAGCACAGTCTGAAGAAGGCTGCACTAGAGAGACTAGCTGATATGACTTTCCATGTTTTCCTCTATAAATGTGATTTTAAAAATTTCAGAAAAAAACAACCCATCCATATATGTCTGGATGAAAGGCTCTTTATAGCTCACTAATGCAATATTTTCAAGCTTGGAGGACAGAACATACTAGTTCACAACCCAGATTAAGACAGATAATAAAGAATGATTTGTGAATAACATGTAAGAGATGAAAACTAGCATTCAGGGTTTATTATGTTTTCCTATGAAATATGCTGATGCTTTGAAAACAATGGAATATGGATGGTTACAGAACATAAACGTTGGAGATTTGGCATATGTGCCAAGCACAGCAAGGCATGTTACCTTGAGGGCATTAACCATCGCTTCAGGCTGCTGAGAAGATAAGGAGGCCTGTTCATTGAAGCTAGCTGGATGGCTCGGAGAACAGACATTCCCATCTGCCTCTGATGGCATCCTAATGGGATCCTTAGTAAAAAAAAATCAAAAGCTATTTAACAGTAAAAAAGTAGGCCAAGCTAATCACACAAAGCAATTCCCATACCCACCCTTCCTCTTTATTTTAATTCCCATTGGGCAAACACAAAATCCACACATATATACAATTCTAAAATGTGTATCATAGTCCCTAATAATGAAGGATGTTCCTGGTGTAGCAAATGGTCTTTGGGTGAAGTTTCTACATATTTCTGTTATATCAGGATAGTGTCAGCCCTATCAGATAGACCAGATTAAGAAACAGATGTGTCTGCCTAAAGCTACTTTAATAAGAACATTTGTAGCACACTAATAGGACCTTTCAAGTTTGAATCTGCTTCCTTTCTTCCCTCTTATATCTCCATGAGAATTGGAAGGGGAGGGGTCATCCTGTCTGAGACATTTATCTAAATCTTTTTCTTCATATGGGTTCAAACTACATTTATCTGATTGTTGCCTTGGTAACAATCTTCCCGCTATTTATCAAGACCATATCCTATAAGCTCTACAAATAACAACAAGCCTTGATTAGTCTTTGGAACCAAAATTTTTAACTTTGGTCCAATACAAATTACAGCAGGTTTAAATCCTACTGCAAACAAGTTCAATTTAATATGCCTTATTAATTTTCACAAGATTTAAGCGTAGCTGATTCCATCAAATTGAGACCAAGTGTATTATTTTTACAAACGCAACAAGACCACACTGTATTAATATAAGATATGGTATCCATCATTATCAGGAAGAGGGAAATGGGTTTACAAATCAGTCTCAGATCCACTAACCTACACATTGTACATTAAAATGTCTGATCACAATCTCCATTTTCCAATGATTTTACTTGTTTTACACAAATCCCTTTGAAAGTAAAGTTCAAAATGCTTCCTGTGGTGTTTAAAGGAGTTCAAGGTGAAACTGCAGTTGCTGGGGCAACCTAATCCAGCCATTTGCTTTGGTAAAATGCTAAAAATATCCTTTCTGCAAGGAAGGTAATAATAGCTTGGCTAGTCAAAACCAAATCAAATCAGATCAGATTCTTCAGAGATGCTTGTGATATTATCAACTAGCTTTGCCTCTCTCCCACCCTTCCATTTAATTAAAACACTGAGAAGAAACAGTCTGGGGGCGGGGGGGGGGGCGAGGCAGGGAAGGAGCGCACAATCTTAGTTAAGGATTGTCTTAAGCCAAAATGAACAATTTTTCAGGCCAAGTGAGGGATAATTTCCACAATGAATGAATGAACAAATGTAATATTTTGACTCAATTGTTTAATTTGGTGCTCTATCTAATTTTAGTATATGTGTGGAGAACAGATCACACTTTAGATCGTATTTATGCAGAAATCATGAATATTGAAGAAAGTTCAGACATTTGCCTCAGATTTTTGTATGACAGTTTGCTTTTGTGCAAGCTCAATTCCTGCAAGATTTGCAACATCTTAAAACTGTCTGAATCTAGCTCCTGCCCATTAGATCTCTCCACAGCATTTTACGAGAGTTTGCCTAAGTGGTAAATGCATTATTCCATCCAATTGCTCAGTTATTTTATTATGCAAGCTAAAATAAAGTTTTTCTTCTTTTTAATAAAACCCATTTTAAATTACAAGGTAAGGCTGATGTTCTCTAGCCATTATCTCAAAACTGTTAGGGCCAGATATACGTTACAGAGTTGATTTTCCTATGGTTATTTCTATTATGCCCAGTTTATGGCTGAATAAATTCCCAGGCTGCGAGAGTTTTATTTCTATCACATGCTGTCTTCCACCCACCCCTGACCCTGGGAAGATGGTGGTGGCAGAGGCAAACTATTATACCACTGTAGACAAACATTGTGCCATGCGCCCCAGGACAAGAGAGGTGGAAACAAAAGAGGCAGGTAGAGGAGTCAAGACCCTTTCACCCACAGCATGTCTTCAACATGTCAGCTATAAAGGACTCCTAAAATTGGTATCATAGCTGCCTTTCATTCAGAAATTTCCTGCATCTGTCTCACACACACTCTCACAGAAATACACTTGAAGCACTGTCAAAACAACAAAATTACAAATATAAGAATGTATAAAATTACAAATATAAGAACATGCTGCTTGAACTTGAAGTGTAAAATAGAAAAAAGTGTGTGTGTGTGTGTGTGTGTGTGTAAATATGTTGTTGTCAGTTGCAAAGTCATGTCCGACCCATTGCAACTGCATGGACAATGTTCCTCCAGGCCAAAACATGATCCACTGGAGAAGGAAATGTATGTGTAAATATAAACAAGGTAAGATATCATTTCCATGATGAAATAATCCGTTTATAGGGAATGAGAAACCTAGTTGGTGTTGGATCAAATAACTATTGGAGAATAATTGCAATGGTTGTTCAAAATCTGGGTAGCAGAGAGCAATGTAAACCTCAATAAAACAATAATCTGTAACTCTTATTACCTGCAGAGAAAGACTCACCATTTGTAAAGTGCAGGTGATGATGATCAATACAAGTTTGGTGCCAAAGCATTATCTATAATTAATCCTTATACTTCTATATTCTGATACAAGAATTTTAAAAACATATGTGGCTTTAAAATATATACAGTGCTCAAAAAAATAAAGGGAACATTTAAACAACACAATGTAACTCCAAGTCAATCATACTTCTGTGAAATCAAATTGTCCACTTAGGTAGCAACACTGATTGACAATCAATTTCACATGCTGTTGTGCAAATGGAATAGACAACAGGTGGAAAGCATAGGCAGTTAGCAAGACATCCCCAATAAAGGAGTGGTTCTGCAGGTGGTGACCACAGACCACTTCTCAGTTCCTATGCTTTCTGGCTGATGGTTTGGTCACTTTTGAATGCTAGTGGTGCTTTCATTCTAGTGGTAGCATGAGACGGGGTCTACAACCCACACAAGTGGCTCAGGTAGTGCAGCTCATCCAGGATGGCACATCAATGCGAGCTGTGGCAAGAAGGTTTGCTGTGTCTGTCAGCGTAGCGTCCAGAGCATGGAGGCGCTACCAGGAAATAGGCCAGTACATCAGGAGATGTGGAGGAGGCCGTAGGAGGGCAACAACCCAGCATCAGGACCACTACCTCTGCCTTTGTGCAAGGAGGGACAGGAGGAGCACTGCCAGAGCCCTGCAAAATGACCTCCAGCGGGCCACAAATGTGCATGTGGCTGCTCAAACAGTCAGAAACAGACTCCATGAGGGTGGTATGAGGGCCCGACTTCCACAGATGGGGGTTGTCCTTAGAGACCAACACCATTCAGGACTTTTGGCATTTGCCAGAGAACACCAAGATTGGCAAATTCTCCACTGGCGCCCTGTGCTCTTCACAGATGAAAGCAGGTTCACACTGAGCACATGTGACAGACGTGACAGGGTCTGGAGACGCCATGGAGAACGTTCTGCTGCCTGCAACATCCTCCTCCTTTTGGTAAGTTGCTGTTTTTCCTTTTTTTTTCCCCCTGATGATCAGCTATTCCGACAATCAATTGTACCACAAGATTTAAATTAGCTAGAAAGCAGGAAATCATTGCTTTGCCTTCACCCAGGAGGCTTCCCTGAGGCCCTGATGACCAGTTTGGCAGTGGGTCAGTAATGGTGTGGGGTGATATTTCTTTAGGGGGCTGCACAGCCCTCCATGTGCTCGCCAGAGGTAGCCTGACTGCCATTAGGTACTGAGATGAGATCCTCAGACCCCATATGCTGGTGCGGTTGGCCCTAGGTTCTTCCTAATGCATGACAATGCTAGACCTCGTGTGGCTGGAGTATGTCAGCAATTCCTGCAAGACGAAGGCATTGATGCTATGGACTGGCCCGCCCGTTCCCCAGACCTGAATCCAATTGAGCACATCTGGGACATCATGTCTCGCTCCATCCACCAACGCCATATTGCACCACAGACTGTCCAGGAGTTGGGGTATGCTTTAGTCCAGGTGTGGGAGGAGATCCCTCAGGAGACCATCTGCCACCTCATCAGGAGCATGCCCAGGCGTTGTAGGGAGGTCATACAGGCAGGTGGAGGACACACATACTACTGAGCCTCATTTTGACTTGTTTTAAGGACATTACATCAAAGTTGGATCAGCCTGTAGTGCTTTTCTCTAATTTAATTTTGAGTGTAACTCCAAATCCAGACGTCCATGGGTTGCTAAATTTTATTTCCATTGATAATTTTTGTGTGATTTTGTTGTCAGCACATTCAACTATGTAATGAACAAAGTATTTAATAAGAATATTTCATTCATTCAGATCTAGGATGTCTTGTTTTTGTGTTCCCTTTATTTTTTTTGAACAGTGTATTAAAAGACTGCATGATTTCCTTTCAGATGCAGACCACATCATTTTAGCAACAGTTACAGGACTTTGTACTCTCCGGGCTAAGATAATAATAATGTTTAATAGAATTATTATTTAAACAATATTTGCTGCAGTAATATTTATTGAATTATTTGCCTTCAGGAAGATGTTAATTTATTTGCTAAATAGCAAGCCCATTTGGCATATTACCAAAAATTATACAATATAGAAGGTTTTGGTTCTTTTCTTGAGCAGCTGTGATCAGACATTCTGTGGATGTCCTGATATGTTTTTCTTAAATATAAAATATAAATGGTTGCCTAATTCAAGCAACATGATTCTTCATAGTGCTTGAGGGGTACAAAACAATTAACCAAAATATAGGAGAAAAATTAGACGCGTCATTAAATTCTAAAGGTATGGGGGTTGATTCCAGCAATGGGATTCAATTTCTTAACAACCGATTCTGTGGGTGTGGCCTAATTTGTGGGTGTGGCTTGGTGAGCATGTGATTGGGTGGGCATGGCTTGCTGACTGGCCATGGCTTGGTGGTCACATGACTGGTTGGGCGTGACTTGTACGTAAATATTATAAATATTTATGTAAATATTGAATTTCTTATTTAAAAAAGAACAACTTTTACCCAAAATCACAGATCTTTACTCACAGAATCACAGATTCACTCACAGATCTACCTTTATGAAAT